GAATGCAGCAGCACGAGTGGTCTTCAATGAACCTAAACGAGCACATGACACTCCGCTGCTAGTCCGTTTGCACTGGCTGCCAGTTGCTGCTCGCATCAAATTCAAAGCTCTGATGTTTGCCTACAAAGTGACTTCTGGCCTTGCTCCTTCTTATCTGCTCTCGCTTCTGCAGATCTATGTGCCCTCCAGAAACTTGCGTTCTGTGAATGAACGTCGCCTCGTGGTTCCATCCCAAAGGGGGAAGAAATCACTTTCGCGAACGCTCACGCTCAATCTCCCCAGTTGGTGGAATGAACTCCCTAACTGCATCAGAACAGCAGAGTCACTCGCTACTTTCAAGAAACGACTAAAAACTCAACTATTTAGTCTCCACTACACTTCCTAATCTGGAATTGCCTCTCTGAATATCACACTAACTGTACAAAAAAAAAAAAATACTAATACTACTAATACTTCCCTTCTTAGACTCTTGGTTGCTCTTGGTTGTGTAAATTGCTTCCTTGTCCTCATTTGTAAGTCGCTTTGGATAAAAGCGTCTGCTAAATGACTAAATGTAAATGTAAATGTAAATATATTAAAGATGCAGTAGGTGATGGTATTCAGAAACATTTTTTGTTGTGCTGGTTGAAAGTCTCTTCACATTCCAATGGTATTGGTTAAAGTAAATTATTAAAAAGTGTATTTATATGTAATTTTATATTCTGTGTGAGGCATAGGACTAAAAAAGTTTGTTCAATCAAAGAATTTGGGCCAAAAATTATGATAGTATAAACTATTTGACAACAAATGTTGATTTGTATCTACGGACCCTGTTCACACAGATAGCTCTGTCATTTGCAGGTTCACATGCATAATGACCACCTAAAGCTGACAGAGTAACAGGAAAACTCAGCTTCAACCTAAACTTCTTTCTGAAAGACCAATGTGGCCTTGTATCCATGAAAGGAAAGATTGTTTTTGAAAGGGCTTCTGCCAAAAATGTCCAATCAAAACTTTTCTAAATTATAAATCAGCATCGGAGCTTCTTTTGGATGGTGGAGGGAAAAATGCAGTTAAAAACCACGGTCTGAAGAATGACACCATGTATGTCTTTTAGACAGGCATGTTTAAAAACTAATTTAGTCACGCAAAACTTATGTAGATTGTGTTCTTTTATGAATGGGCTATATGCACAGAAGTGTTTTTCAGCCACCAGGACATTATCAGGAAGGCTATTCCAGAGTTCAGGAGCCATAAATAAGAAGGCTCAACCTTGAACTTCACTTTTACTGGGGCATTAGGACTCACACAGACTGCAGGTTGAGCGCCCCCTGCTGGCCTCACTAACAACCACTTCCAACAGCAACCTAGTGTTCCCTACTGGTCTCCCATCTAGGTACTAACCAGGATCAGCCCTGCTTAGCTTCAGTGAGTAGCTGCTCTTGGACTACAGGGTGATATGGCTGTGGCAATCACCCTGCAGACTTTCTCTCTGCTGTTAAACAAAATAAGATTTTGAAGAATGTTGGAAATGGGATAGTTCTCAGAAGCACTGCTTTTCATATTTCTTTTCTATCCAACTGTCTGGTTAACATCTTTCTTCAAAATATCACCTTTTGTGTTGAGCAGAAAAAATAAACTCATACAGCACACGTCTGGAATAACTTGACAAGTAAATGGTGAGTACATTTTTATTTTTAAATTGATCTAATGATATTAGAGGTTTTATTTGATTGCAGTCCCCTTTTTCAAACCCTTTCACACACTCTCTCAGACCTAGAGTTTTTTTTTATGTGACTTAGAATGCATCGCTTTAAAGTTTCCATGGCATCAGGTTTATCATGTATATATTGCATTTATATATGTATATCAGCATATATTGCTTTTATATATTTGTTTCTCTTGTCTTTTTTCTCTTTTCTGCAAATATTGACAAACATACTAATTATATTTTATAATATAATATCAAATATGATTAAGAAAATGTATTTAACTTTTTATACCGTTTAATAATTATCCTATCATTTGATGATGGCCGAGTTAGCCTGCACTGCAGTTGAGAGATTAGAGTTACTGGATTTACAACATGTTAACTCATCAACTTCTCCAAAATACAGGTAAGTGGCTTTTAAATGTGTGAAGAATAGAGCAAATATTCTAGAAACATAAACAGTGTGGATCTGATGTAAATAAAGCACATTGTCAAATTATGTAAAAAAAAAAAAAAACATAGGTTACCCCTTTTTTTCATATTTAATATAAGTCTTTTGTGTCCCCAGAATGCGTCTGTAAAGTTTCAGCTCAAAACACCCATCAGAGTATTTATTATAGCTGTCTGAAGTGTCTGTATTATAGCTGGGAAAAGGTTGTTGCTGTTTTTTTGCACTGGGTCTTTAAGGCTAGTCATCCCCGCCCACCGTTCCCACGTGCCTGTCAGCAACATGCCTCAATCGCCACCCTCGGCTGCCTCAGGAAGCAGATCTCATGTAACGTTTGTGAGAAATACTACAGTAAGAACTTTACCAAACAGTATTTGATGCATTTTTTTGTGGAGCTGCAACAATGAGTTTACGCACACACAGCGCAGACACACAAACACACACACATAGCGCAGACACACACACACACACACACATATAGCGCAGACACACACATACACACACATAGCGCAGACACACACATACACACACATAGCGTAGACACACACACATACATAGCGCAGACACACACACACATACATAGCGCAGACACACACACACACATACATAGTGCAGACACACACACACACACACACATAGCGCAGACACACACACACACACACACATAGCGCAGACACACACACATACATAGCGCAGACACACACACATACATAGCGCAGACACACACATACATAGCGCAGACACACACACACACACACACACACACACACAGACAGACAGATAGACAAACAGACAAACAGACAGACAGACAGAGAGAGAGAGAGACACGCGGCTGTAGTGATGAAGTGAATCTAAAGTGAATCGCTGTACTTCATGTACTTGATGATCCTAGCATACTGAACAGACCTTTTAATCCCGGTTCATCCTGTCTTGTTAATATGATTACATGCGTTATTACGGAGAAATGTTAATGCATGCAGCTGTCAATCAATATTGGTGGGCGGGGGGACCACACTCCTACGTCAAGTTGCGGTCGATCTGAAAACCAATCCAATTGGTCCACCGTTTTTATGCTGTTAAATTTAAAAAAAAAAAAAAAGACTGGGTGTGTTTATTTCACCCCAATATGATAGACTATACTTACACACGTCTGTCCAAACAGCTTTAAAAATAGATTTTTCACCATAGGTGCCCTTTAAGTACAGTATAATGTTTTGCAAGTACTAAGGTCTATTCAAATGTCTGAAATGTAAAATGTTATTTGTTTGAAAACACTGATAAATGTCTTTCTCTAGCTCAGTGCTAGTCATCGCCTGAAAGCTGCTTTGAAGTTAGAACCTGATTACGTAACACACTGAACATTCTAATCACACCAGTGTGATCATACACATCAGGAACCAGCCAAGACTAATCAAACCGGTGTGAATGTACAAGTAAGTGATTAATTTCCCAATTGTTAAAGTTAATTTCAAACATGACAAACTGAGTGTATTTTGTGTATGTTTTTGAGCAAACCTAAAGCCTAAAAGCGTAAAACCTAAACAAAAAGTTAGCACTTGGTAACATTGTTAGAACGGGTGTTATCAGTGGTTATCAGCTAATAAATATAGGCCAGTAGGGGCCTTCTACGCCTACTGGTAGGCTCAGAAGGCTGTTATCATCCATCCACTTGGTTAATTAGCTATACTAATAGAGAAAACTCCATATCCAGATCTGTTTTTACATTACTGTGACGGTTGGCTTTGGGGTTGGGATAGGGGTAGAGGTTAATAAAATACAATTAATGGGAAATTTAATAAATAATATAAATAATTCTCATGGTTAATCAGCTATACCAGAGAAGACTTCAGATCCAGAACTGTTTTTACATTACTGTGACGGTTGGGTTTTGGATTGGGGTAGGGGTAGATGTTAATAAAATACCATTAATGGGAAATTTAGTAAATAATTTTAACAATTTTCAAAAACAGCTGATTAACCATGTGGATGGATGACAACAGCCTTCTGAGCCTACTAGTGGGCGCAGAAGGCCCCTACTGGCCCATATTTATCAGCTGATAACCACTGATAACTTCCATTCAATTGAGTATTAACATTAAAATCGTCTGACAGAATCCTCTTTGGTAACAGCATCTCAGTTGCAGCGCAATACACTTTTAAGTCTTTAAAGGAAAGGTACAGAATGCAATATCCCAGAACTAAAATCCTAATAATAGCATACACCTTTTATGAAGTCATTTTTGTTGGTTTGCATACTTTGCACAAAAGGAGGACAGGCATGGTTTGGTATGTAATACAAATAAAACATGTAGACAAGCAGTATAATTTTTCTATGTGAAATTGTTGCATTATTGGACTTTAGTTTATTGCAAACTGATGTAATAGTGTTTAATAAGTGACCCTGGACCACAAAACCAGTCAAAAGTAATTTTTTAATAAAACTAAGATTTATACATTATCTGAAAGCAGAATAAATAAGCTTTATTTAGATGTATGGTTTGGTTTGTTAGGACAGAACAATACTTGTAGTGCATTTATTTGTAAATCTGGAAAGTGAGGGTTCATAAAAATCTAAATATTGAGAAAATTACCTTTAACAAATAGGTTGTTATACAAAATACTAAACAGAAATTAGGTTCTGATACATTAACTAAAGACAAGTCACAAAAATGTCTTCAAGGAATGTGATCTTTACTTTATATTTTAATGAATTTAGGCATAAAGTAAAAAAATCTATTAATTTAACTACATTTATTAATGTATTTCTGGCTATTTTCACAGTACAGTACACACCTATGTGGCTTATTTTTGTGGTCTAGGGTCACATACTGTATAAATAAGAAAAATAGACAAAAATCTTACCTGTATAATGTCTGTCATCTACATTAGAAGCAGAAGAGAGAACAAAGACAACAACAGAATTGTAAATAATGATTATAATATTGATTCTATAAGTAAAGTGCTCATTCACTAATACTCACAGTGGCAGACCGGTTTGGGTGAGTCCCATTTGCCTAGTTTATTGCACTGTGTGCTGTTTCTGCCCACCAGGATGAAACCCTCCAAACAGCTGTAGTGAAGTATAGTGCCCTCTACTGCTGGTCCTGGAGGATGAACCGTCACACGGCCGTTCTCCAGGGACGTCCACACACGCGGACATGGCAGCACTGAGAAACACCAGTCACAAATTAAATTCACTTTTTGACATATAAAACGTCATTGTTTCAGTTTCAGAACTCAAACCTTTCCTACCTATATACAGTATTTAACAATATACTGTCTTAATATAATACTATCTTTACATATACAGTATACAGTAGATATCATATATTAGTTATTCATTATACAGTTGAAGTCAAAATTATTAGCCCCATGAATTATTAGCCCCCCCCCCCCCCCCCCCCGTTATTTTTCCCCAACATTTCTGTTTAACAGAGAGCAGATTTTCTTAACACATTTCTAAACATAATAGTTTTAATAACTCAATTTTAATAACTGACTTATTTTATCTTTGCCATGAACAGTAAATAATATTTGACTAGATATTTTTCAAGACACTTCTATACAGCTTAAAGTGACATTTAAAGGTTTAACTAGGTTAATTAGGTTAACTAGGTAGGATAGGGTAATTTTGCAATTTATCATATGATGGTTTGTTCTGTAGACTATCAAAAAAAATATATATATAGCTTAAAGAGGCTAAAAATTTTGACCTTAAAATGTTTTTAAAAAAATTAAAACCTGCTTTTATTCTAGCCAAAATAAAACAAATAAGACTTTCTCCAGAAGAGAAAATATTATCAGACATACTGTGAAAATTTCCTTGCTCTGTTAACATAATTTGGCTAATAATTCTGATTTCAACTGCTCATAACTGCCTTTTCAGAAAGTTTTCAACTGTATCAAACTGTTTACGTGTTTATTACAATTTGACTGTTACTTTGTGCATTTTAACCTAAATCACATCAGTGTGCATCTATGAAGGATGTAGGTTGTCAAATATAATTTACATGGTAAAATTTACATTGGCGTGCATATAGCCGTTCTTTTGAACATTTTTTAAATATGGAAACCTGTCATACCAGTGGCTCCAATGAACACACAGTTTCACACAAAGACCAATGACCAAGGTCAGGTTTCTTTTTAAACAATACATTAACATTTTGAATACAAAGGACATGAGACCATTTTGCATGATAAATAGATGAATAAAGTTTAATGCTGCATGGACACTAGTTCCTTTAACATTTTACTTTCAATTAATAAGAAAATTAAGGTCTTCATAAACATTACTTAGCAATACTTGAATGTTTTGTCCTACAATATAAACTGTGCATACTCATAATAAACTCACCCTAAAAAGCCCTATTTGGTTATTTATTAGGAACATGAGTTTCTTATTGTTGTGCAAGCTACAGTACAACCTTACAATTTTACTTTCTCAGGATTGTAATGCGTTACATTATCTATCTATCTATCTATCTATCTATCTATCTATCTATCTATCTATCTATCTATCTATCTATCTATCTATCTATCTATCTATCTATCTATCTATCTATCTATCTATCTATCTATCTATCTATCTATCTATCTATCTATCTGTCTATCTGTCTGTCTGTCTGTCTGTCTGTCTTGCTGTCTGTCTGTCTGTCTGTCTGTCTGTCTGTCTGTCTATCTATCTAATCTATCCGTCTGTCTGTCTGTCTGTCTGTCTATCTGTCTATTTTTCTATCTATCTATCTATAAACCAACACAAGCACTATTCCATTTTATTTAAAATACTTAGGATGGAAAGCCCCAGCTTAGATGAACGTGAAGACTACAGCTCCCATGATTCCACACTCAGTTTTAGTCATCAACCTTTTGTTTGTTTTATAGTTTTTCTAAGTGGCTTTGGTGCATTTCTCACAACACTATTTATATTTGCACAACAGTTAATGCATTTCCCAAAACAATTAGTACAAACTGCAAAACCTAGTTGATAACCAGCAAAAGGGTGTCTTATGCTTAAAATGGAAAGCTCAGTCCTCAAAAGCAAGTATTTCTGTCGCTGAAAGTGTCAGTGAAATCAAGATGAAAAGTCCTGACACCATTGTATAGATAGTCAAATGGCTTTGTCATGTTTTCATTATGACAGTTTACTCTATACATTCTTCCAATGCAAAAAAAAAAAAAAAAAAAAAAGTCAGATTTTGGTGACACTTCCTGAAAATACTTAAGCACTATTTACTATTTGTACAGCCATTTGAAAACTACAGTAAAGTTAGACATCACTGCATTTAGTGAGGTATCTGACACTGAATATGTATGTTTCACATTTTCACAGCATTTGCTTTGTGCAATTCTAATTTATTCACAGCATTGTGCAAAAAAAATAATACACCCTTATTTACAACAAACATAAACTTCCTTTGGGTAGAGCTGTGGACAACTGTAAACAATATTGCAGTACATATTGGAACAAAACCTAACATACATAGGTCTGTAAATCTTTCATGAACTCATTCAATTTAGAGGACATTTTCAGGAAAATAAAAAAAGATCTACATTTATTTTAATCAAATTTGCTTGACAGATTTTGACAACAACATTTTTGTATGTAATGACTCAAGTAATGAAATGACTATTATTTTTATATGAAAAGACTCAGCATTCACAGGTTTAGTTAATTTTGACTGATATGACAACCAAATGATAACATTACAAAACAGCAGAGAGTTGCATAAAAGCAATTGATGCATGTCCAAAAGCATTTGCAATTTGTTGGAAGGAATGAAAAACTGCTACTATGATGTGCACAAATTACTAGAAATGCATTGACTGTTGTGCAATGTAAATAGTGTTGTGAGAAATGCATCAAAGCCACTGAGAAAAACTGTAATTGTGCTTCATTATTGTTGTATTCACATAATTATTTATTTATTATATTATTATTAAACCATTTATTTGGCCTGCATTTAATAATAATACATTTATTTTTTGTAAATGGCACCTTTCTAGACACCCAAAGTCGCCTAACAATAAGCATCAACAGCCATACCAGAACAAATTAAAACAATTAATAATAAAAAAAATTGCAAACAAGCATTCTAACTTCATGTAACTAGCTGCAGGTTTAAACACTGCAAATATACAATCACCTCACAAAAAGTGGGAAAAAAAAAGAGAGTGAAATTATATACTATATCTATAAAGGTATTTGGTTTATTTAAGATCATTTGTAGTTTTCTTTAGAACTTAAAAGCACTCCTGAATCTGAAAGAGTGATTAGCTGTAGGCTCCAGAACAGTCATCTGAAACATTGTCATACAGTGTAATGCCTGTATTATCAATAGCCTTGCATTTACTAACACAGACTATATACTGTATGAAGTAATTTGTGTTTTCCTCCTGAAGAAAATTATCATAAAAACAATGCTTAGTGGTCCAATGTGTTACAACAGTGTTTTTTAAAAAAAACTAAACACTTTATTGATATAGTACACAGCCAAGCACATGTGGGGCCTGTTTCAGAAAGCAGGTTAAGTGAAAACTCAGAGTAGTTTAACCCTGAAATGAGAGAAACTCTGGGTTTTCCGTTTCAAAATGGCAGGTTTGTTAAACTCGAGAAAGCAGGTTAAGTCAAGCCTGTTTCTAAAAGAGAGTTAACTTTAACTCAGAGTCAGTTACCGTGGTAACTTACTCTGTGAATCTAACCTGGTCCGGAGCAGGTTTTATTCTCTAAACTCTGAGTTTCTGTCGGTCTCCTCCCCTTTTTTAAAAATGAAGCGGCATTTCTCGCATTAGTCTTACATTTCCACACACCTATTTTAGAGCTCATTTTGGAGATGTGCATAAAAAAGATTGATGGAAACGTCATGATTCACATAACTTTTGAAAATACGCATAATATAACAAGTGCATAACTGAGTGGGTTAAACTTTTATTTGATAAGATGCACATAAACTACAAAGTGCACTTAAATTACAGTATGTACATTAAAAAATAGTTTGTTAGAGATGATGATAAAAATGTGTGTGAAAAAACAAACCAGCAGACTGAGCACACTGCAGAACATCTTAAATGGTGTTTTAGTCAATCTAAAATGCCTTTACTGTTTCATTATTAGTGTATATTATTAATTACCTCCGAGCGTCTGGAGCGTGTCAAGATCTCCGCGTCTGGCTTCTTCTGAGGCTCAGGTACATTAATTAAATAAAAAAATCATTGATGCAGCTTCTTCTGCCGCAGTAAATTCTGTTTTTACTGTTGATATTTGGCGCAAGTTAATCAGGAAGTGACGATTGTGTTCTCTTCGACTCTTTGGATAAAAACGCTGCTTTATTTTAGGCATTATTCCAGTTTTGCACAAATTTATGTAATAGCCTATATTTTGATGAAAACACAGCTATTGCCTACATTTTTGCCACACACAGAACTAAGTCACGTACGAGGCTTGTCCTTTTTTTCCCATAAATAATTAGCTTAATCTTTGACATGCACTGTTACTAGATTAATGGGATTATTATTCTGTCTAAATTATTTTATTACTGCTTACCTTCTTAATGTTATATCAACCTCTATCACTTGATCAATAAAAAGGCAGACACAAGTGCGCTGTTAAATCTATTAAAACTGATAAAAGTGTATAAAAGTTTAGGAAAAAGTATAAACGTCACACATTACTTATTTTATTATACTTAAAATGTTTAAATACTTAAAATTAAAAATTACGCATTAACTTGAGCAGCTGTTTTCCCTCGCTGTTTCTGTTTCACTGATGGTTGCTTCATTTTAAATATATACACTCATATTTGCTATAACTTTGCATGAGAACATCAAGTTCAGCTTGAAAAAGAAATGCTGATCTCTTTTTTTTAAGATGTTGCCGTAGTCACTCGTAATGTCTGCACTCCATTGATAATGCCTTTTTATAGTCACGGTGCGCGCGCTTAACTCTGAGTTGGTCTACTCAAAGTTGATTGAACCAACTCAGATCAGCTGTTCTGAAACCGAAAACTCAGAGTTTTTAATCTCTCGGTAAATCAACTCAGAGTTCAAGTTTAAACTCCGAGTTGTTTGAACCTCCTTACTGAAACAGGCCCCTGGTCAGACCACAAACAAGTTGTCATGCCTGGGCTCTCTCAGAAAGGCAAAGGATCACAAGAGTTATCAATCACATAGA